AACTATCAAAAGTGTATTACTTACTTACGCCTGTTACTCCTCGTGGAGCACTCTCCATATGACCCTGTCATGGGCAATACTTTCCAGTTCTTTTCAGTTGTTATTCATCTTTTTTTATGTCTACTTCCAATTCCCGACGTAGTGTGTTCTTTGGCTTTCCTCTTTTCCATTTCCCTTCAGGATTTCAAGTTAACGCTTGTCTCGTGATGCAGATTGGTTATTTCTGTAAAGTATGTCCTATCCACTTCCAGTGTTTTCTCCTAAATTCCTCTTCAGTTAGAAGCTGGTTTGTCCTCTTCCATAGTAGACTGTTGCTGATGGTAAGTAGCCAACGGTTATTTAGTATGTTGCGTAGACAATTGTTTATAAACACTCATACCTTTTGATGATGGTTGTGGTAGTTCTCAAAGTTTCAGCTCCGTACTATAGAACTAACTGTGTTGACGTTCGTATTGAATATTGCGACTTTGATATTGGTTAATAGACAGCTGTTTTGAGTTGGATGTGTTGTTCAATTGTAGGAATGCTGTCCTTGCTTTGCCAATCTCCGCCTTTACGCGTGCATCCAATCCTCCTTGTTCATCGATGAAAAGAGTATTGGATGACTTGTAGTAAAGAATTATTAACACGAATGGATAGATGAATTCCGCGCCAAAATTCGAGGCCTGTTATCCCTAAATATGATTGGTTCGTCCATAAATTATAGTTTTTCCTTTGAATCTTCCCATTGATGTTTTAGGACTCCAACTGATCAGTTTCTTATTGGTATATGTACATCCTGTGACGATTGCTTTGATAATGCCTTGAATCACAAATATTCCAAACAAAAATGGATGATAGCTAGCATAGGATGCAAGTACATCCGGCCAACAAGTTCCAAACAGGACGAAACACCTATTTTAGATTCCACTGCTAACCATCATCCATTCTTGACTAAATGTTGATTTTAATTCGTGTGAATTAATGACATGAGATTTATAGAAGACTTCAACTGATTACTATAAGCTTGGATATCTCAATGAGATGATTGTATTTAGTCTAAATTTAATCAAAATATAACCATACTATCAAAAGCCAACTCATATGAATTGTAACTATCATGATTCATACAAGCTGGGTTTATAAATTTGTTGGTGTAGTGAACGAGAACATAGGCGGGGACAACAAAATGTACCTTAATAAAACATCTTTAAGATTTCAATCCATGATACTGAAGTGAAAGAGAACACAAATGAGGACAATCAAATGTATTTGAATACAACATTACAGAATCTATTATTAAATGTTAATCAATCGTTTCAGACTTCCTTCATTTCCACACCAATCATTCTCTGTTCTCGTTCTCTTTACTTCGATCTTCTTAACCTTCTGCTTCCAGACATAACACTTTCGATGCAAGATATATACTACTTATATCTGTCGATATCAGTAGCACACACCACACTCGTTCTCCCTGCCTGCAGTGGTTCTGATCGCTGTGCCACTTTATTCTTTTCTGCAGTCTATGCCACGTTCTGAGTCAAAATATTGAGGCTGCCACGCGTTGAACTCCATCGCTCCGTCAACCTGTTAGGCCATCAACATTCGATGTCCAAACAGCAGCCGCAAGTCCCACAGCTCGCCTCTATCGACAGCACTCGTTACAGCCAACACTGCCCCCTCTAGAACACTTCACTCGTCGTCGCCTCCCCACATCAGGTCGCCCCAACTAGCACTTTAGCCCTAGGTCCGCAACAGAGTGCTCAGAACAGCAATCTCCTCTCCCCCTAGTTGGCAGCGACACCAAATATCGCGAACGAGGAGACAAGTGGGGATAATTGAATTTATTTCAACACCAAACTTACAGAACATTCTAGTAAAATCTGAGAACCATATAGTAAATACACCATTTGCAACATGTCAATCAATCGTCTTAGACTATATTGTTCCTTTATTTCTACACCAATCATTCTTTGTTCTCATTCTCTTTTCTTTGATCTTTTTAACTTTTTTACCGTAAAACATACATACTACTACTTATATCTATTGAAATCAGTAGTACAATGTCACAATAGTATTTTCACTAGGTAATTTATATTAAGAATGAATATAACCTTTATAGAAAATAGTAACCTTATAGATTCTTTCCTAAACTTTTATATGATATATGATTTTCACTTAGTGAATACATCTGTCCAACTTTCTCATCTTGTATTACTGTATGAAGAAAGAAAAAGGGAAAAAAGAAAAGAAAGAAAAAGAGAAAAAAGAAAAGAGAGAAGAGTAAAGGGAACCTATATAGTTCTTAGTTATTCATTAACAATTAGATAGTTTATTACTTTTAAATTATTCTTTTCACATGTTTATCATTAAGACAGATGTCAACATTCACATTGTTCATGTAAACATAAATATAATTTTGGCATAATCAAATGTTGAAATTCATAAGTTGGTTTAAACTACATCATCATGGATAACCTAGAAACACTGTACTATCGTTTCGTCATGGTATAGGACTTCTGAGCAGTGAGCACTCACACGGAATTCGAACCCAAGACCAGCAGTCTCGCGCATGAATGCATAATCTCTAAACCACTGAGTTGGTATCTGACGGTTTTAATGTCTAACTTCAATCAAGAAGGATATTGAATGCGCACTGCCAAGGAGTCATATACCAGGATGAAACGGATGTTCAGTGTTTCCAGGTTTTCCATGATGGTTTAGCTTTAATTGACTCATGGATTGAACTATTAAAAATCACCACAATTCTGATAACGATCAAATGTTTAGTATAATTGTGTGGTTGATAAGGAAGTCAGTTCAATTACTCATCTATAAGAGTAAGATCATTAATTGTTACTATGTTTAATGATAAAGTTTATCAAGAGATTATACATTCACATGTATTGACATATGATTATAAGTTTTATAGTTCATATCACAAATGTATCTTAGACAATTTTCTTAAACCAGGAAGTACTAGACAGTTGTTTCATTCTGTTATGACACTCTTAAAAAATGAGCTATCGACTGATTTCTAGGTTCTTAATGGTTATTTAACTAAAATCAATTCATGATGTTCAACTATAAGGCTGAGTAGTCTCCTACAAATCTTACTTACTTACTTACTTACTTACTTACTTACTTACTTACTTACTTACTTACTTACTTACTTACTTACTTACTTACTTACTTACTTACTTACTTACTTACTTACTTACTTACTTACTTACTTACTTACTTACTTACTTACTTACTTACTTACTTACTTACTTACTTACTTACTTACTTACTTACTTACTTACTTACTTACTTACTTACTTACTTACTTACTTACTTACTTACTTACTTACTTACTTACTTACTTACTTACTTACTTACTTACTTACTTACTTACTTACTTACTTACTTACTTACTTACTTACTTACTTACTTACTTACTTACTTACTTACTTACTTACTTACTTACTTACTTACTTACTTACTTACTTACTTACTTACTTACTTACTTACTTACTTACTTACTTACTTACTTACTTACTTACTTACTTACTTACTTACTTACTTACTTACTTACTTACTTACTTACTTACGCCTGTTACTCCTAATGGAGCATAGGCCACCGACCAGCATTCTCCAACCCACTCTATCCTGAGCCTTCTTTTCCAGTTCCATGCAATTCTTGTTCATTTTCCTCATGTCTATTTCCATTTCCTGGCGTAATGTGCTCTTTGGTCTTCCTCTTTTCCTTTGGCCTTGATGATTCCATGTGAGGGCTTGTCTTGTGACGCAGTTGGGTGCTTTCTCCAGTGTGTGCCTCATCTACTTCCAGAACTTCTTCTTGATTCTCCTACAAACCCTCTATATAATAATAAATGCTATAAGTGCCTAGAATTCGAGGAACCGCCGCACGAATTAAGTCACTAGTAATCATATGATGATTGTTATGATAAAATGTTGTGAAGATTCATACTCATTTACTGTAAGGCCTATGGATTCCATATTCAATCTATGATATTGTCACGGATATACGAAATTATAAAGTTTCATACACACTAAAGAAACAGATATCTAATGGTTCCAGATTCGAACCCGAACGCTTAACCACTAGACCACTGAGTTGGATAACATTCAACGGTGTTAATGTGTTACTTCATCCAATCCACGAAATCTTCAGTGAGTTACTATTTCACAACAGACTCGGTTGAACTCCACTGGTCACGGCTTCTTACTAGAACTCCAGGAAATACCTCTTGAATCCAGTCACTAGTGAGCATATATTGATTAATATCAGAAGGGTTTTTTTGGATATTATAATCATTTCAATATTTGAAATCATGAGTCAAATAAAGCTAGACCATCATAGAAAATCTAGAAGTATTAGACAGCTGTTTCGTCCCATTGTGGCACTCCTCATCAGTGAGCATCTATGATCCTGTTCATAGGATTTGAATCCAAGATCTATCGATCTCGTGAACAAACACTTAACCTCTAAACTACTAAACTACCATCTAACAGTGTTAATATCCTTCATTATCTTCAATAACTAACTGTCTCATATTAGTTATGATATTAATAATCATAGTAATATGTATGTTTTTATTTTGATAATGAAATTCATTCATGCATTCTATGATACAACTTAAATTATTCACCTTAATAATTATTATTTCATTCATCATTGATTTTTAAAGAGTTAATAGGAGTGTAAGGTTCTTTTCTTTCTTTTTTTTCTGAAAAAAAGAAAAAAAAGAAAAACAGCAACAACCACAACAACAAGAAGGGGGGGGGAACACATATCTATATATTTTCTGCTTTCCCTAAAAAAGAAAGATAAGTTCGTATATGTTTCGTTTTCTTTTCTTTTTCTTTTTCTTTTTTCTTTCTTATATAGGTAGGGTAGTCTCTATGAAAAGAGCTTATTTTTGTACACATTGTATAATAGTAATAATAATAGTGATAGTGACCCCCACCTCTCACATACACAGAGACACAGAGGATATCTATCAGGGAACAGAAAAATGATAGTCTTCTATATACATCTATCTATTCGAATACCCAATAACAAATCCCGGAAATTATACCCTGTCACAGGAAGTAAGGTTGACTACTGAAATCTAAAATTATTATTATTTTTTTAAAAAAAACACACTGGAAACAACATTGATCAAGGAAGAATTCTGCAAGGAAATTGACATATATGTATATATTACTCGTTAGTAATATTAGATACAACAGGAAATTCTTCTCTCTCTCCCTGCCCCCCTCTCACTCTCTCTTTGTGTCAACATCTAACTCGGTGTCTATATATGTTTTAATGTATCCGTAAAGCAGGTATACAAGATAAAAACTAAATTGTATAACTAGAAACATGTTAGATATTCCATCATTATAATTCGATATAAGTAGTATAGTTATTTACATAGATTTCTATTTAAGTTTAGATTTAGTTTATTTCCTTTATTTCAATGATGATTAGTTTTATTTTTAAATTTGACAAGATGATTAGAATAGTTGACATGATTTTGAAAGAACAAACAGAAAAGAAAGATCTCTGTTTTCTACTCTGTGATAGGTCAAATAATACCAATGTCAATGTTACCAGTATAATCCATGCTTATTTAGATAGATGAATAAAGAGATAGATTCAGAAAAAGTGAAAACAATCTTCTATTCATTTGTACAATAAATAAAAGATAGAATAACCAATAATTTGACCTTACTTACTTACTTACTTACTTACGCCTATTACTCCCAATGGAGCATAGGCCGCTGACCAGCATTCTCCAACCCACTCTATCCTGGGCCTTCTTTTCTAGTTCCATCCAATTCTTGTTCATTTTTCTCATGTCTATTTCCATTTCCCGGCATAATGTGTTCTTTGGTCTTCCTCTTTTCCTTTGACCTTCAGGATTCCATGTGAGGGCTTGTCTTGTGACACAGTTGGGTGCTTTCCTCAATGTGTGTCCTATCCACTTCCAGCGCTTCTTCCTGATTTCTTCCTCCACTGGGATCTGGTTTGTTCTCTCCCACAGTGCGCTGTTGCTAATAGTGTCCGGCCAATGGATCTGAAGTATTTTGCGTAGACAATTGTTAATAAACACCTGTATTTTCTGTATGATGGCTTTTGTAGTTCTCCAGGTTTCTGCCCCATACAGTAGAACTGTCTTGACATTTGTATTGAAAATCCTGACCTTGGTGTTGGTTGACAGTTGCTTTGAGTTCCAGATGTTCTTCAGTTGTAAATATGCTGCTCTTGCTTTGCCGATCCGCGCCTTCACATCTGCATCAGATCCACCCTGTTCATCAATGATGCTGCCCAAATACGTAAAGGTTTTTACATCTTCCAAATCTTCTCCGTCAATTTTGATTGGATTGGTGCATGCTGTCTTGTATCGGAGAATCCTGCTTTTCCCTTTGTGTATATTGAGACCTATTGCTGCTGAGGCTGCTGCCACACTGTTCGTCTTCTCCTGCATCTGTTGTTGCTTTTGGGATAGAAAGGCCAGATCGTCTACGAAGTCTAGATCATCCAACTGCATCTTAGATGTCCATTGTATCCCGCGCTTTCCTTCGGACGTTGACGTTTTCATGATCCAGTCGATCACCAGGAGAAAGAGAAAGGGTGAGAGTAAGCAACCTTGCCTAACACCGGTCTTCACTTCGAAAGACTTTGTCAACTGTCCTCCATGCACGATTCAATTATTCAAATAATTTGATCATTAAACTATAATTTATAATATGAGGATGTTGAATAGTTGTCTATTGGCATTCAATCGGATCTGTTGTGAAATAATCGTTCATTGAAGATCATGGTGGATGGTAGTGAAATTTTATGGATTGGTTGGAGTTTAGCATTAACACCATTGAATGTCGGCCAACTTAGTGGTCTAGAGGTTAGGCGTTCACGTGCGAGACTGATAGATCCTGGTTTCGAATCCCGTGGGACGGGATCGTTGATACGCATTGTTGAGAAGTCCCATACTAAGACAAAATGGCCTTCAAGCAGTGCTTCCAGGTTTTACATGGGTAGTCCAGCTTCAATTATCTCATGGTCTCAACTATTAAAAATTACTATAATATCTGATAATAATCATCATATTCTCACTGGTGTTGGTCTTCAAGATGTATTTCCTAGAGTTCTAATGAGAAGCCGTGACCAGTGGAGTACAACTGGGTCTGTTGTGAGATAGTAAGTCAATGAAGACAATGGAGGACAATTGAGCGATATTGTGGATTGGTTGAAGTTAGACATTAACACCGTTGAATATCGGCCAACTCAGTGGTGTAGAGGTTAAGCGTTCTCATGCGAGAGTGAAGGTTCTGGGTTTTGAATTCAGCGTGTGAGATAGTGGTTAGGCAGTAGTGAGGAGTCCTATATTAGAACGAAACGGCTGTCAAGTGTTTTCAGTTTTTCACTGGTAATCTAACATTGATCGATTTATGATCCCAATCAAAAACTTAACAATCTCCACAACCCTATACTCATAATAAATAATGTGGCATTAAGTGAGCCTGTTTCGTTTAGTACACTCTTAAATGTACTGATGTTTTGAAGTAAATAAGGTGTGCTCGCAAATGTAATTTTGTGTGCATGCCATATTAGATAAAGTTATTTAGTTTACTTACTTACTTACATACTCCTGTCGCCAACCCTCATGGAGGAGAATAGGCGGCCCACCAACACTCTCTATACAACTCTTTCATAGGCAATCCTTTACACTTGATTCCAGTTGCTATTCATCCTTTTCATATCTGCGTCCGATTCCCGATGCATTGTGCTCTTTGGCATTTCTCTTTTCCGTTTCCTTTCATGATTCCAAGTTGGCAGTTGTCTTGTGTTGCAGTTAGATAACTTCTTAAATTTGTAACCTATACTCTTCCAACGTCTTTTGCTAGTTTCTTCTTCATCTGGAAGCTGGTTTATCCTCTCCCACAGTAGGTTATTTAGTTTAATACTGACTAATAATTATGACTATTTTACAGAATCATACGTAATTTCATCAGCCACAAGGACTATGTGTAGGATAAACAAAATGACAAAAGTGATAGTGATTACAGAGAAGCAGTAGTACAGTGAGCATGGCCCTTAAATGCCCTCGTACGGTCGAAAATGGAGAGAGTCAACTCTCCCTTTCGAAATGCCATGTGCATACAACCACTGCCAGGAAAGTCCTACTCACTGCCTTCTCGTGGCGGGGGGTATTGTTTACGAAATTGAGAAAGCGAAAAGTGAATATCTCTGGACCTACATTTCGTGCTCTTTAGCACTCATCAGCAAGTTGTACCTGTAATCTTGAGGGAACTGATACTCCCTAACGGGTTCGACCCCATATCACTCAGCTTCACAATCAGAGATGTTACCACTGAGCTACTCAGGCCACAACTGACCCCATATAAGACTGAGGTGTATTACAAATGATTGATTACTGAGTGGTGACGAATGCCAAGTAGAACGAGAAGTTCTAGCATTTCCTGTTGACTACGTCCAATCAACATTTTATTTTCAACCTAGTGTACGTAATATCGAGTCATCTAGACTAATGGCCATATTGCAACTTGATCGATAGGATTCAATCTGAACTAAGAAGAACTTGATACACATGGCATCGATCATTATTCAGTAATTGATCAATGTTCAATTTTCTTTTTAAAGAACTCATTTCACTTCTTCTCTTCTACCTTATTGTTATAATGATGAAATTCATATGAATGTTATTCATACATGATATAAACGCTTTCTCCCTCCTAACCCCTCAACTCTCCCTCCCTCTTTCCCCCCTCTCTTTCTCCAATTCAAATTATAATCCATTTCCTATGGATACATGTATAGATAAACATAGAGAATGTTCTTTTCTTTCTTTAATCCATTTTTTTTTAAAAAAGAGACATAGAAACATAAACATGAAATTAGATTCTGTTCAAGTTTCAATTCGATTTCATATTTGAATATAAAAGAGAGAAAAGAAGTGAAAGAAAAAAATTCTTTGTTGTTTTTTTTTTCAATTTTTCCATGAAAAAAATTGAAAATTTATTTTCATTTTATTTAATAAATTTCATTGTCAAATGAATTATGTTTTCTTAATTGATAAAGAAATATCATTAAACAATGACAACAACAACAACAACAACAATAACAACCAAAAGGAGAAAAACTAACGAGAAAAAAACCAAAGAAGAAAAAATGGAGTGATGATGATGACGACGACGAGGAGGAGGGAGAGGAGAATGATGGCCATTGATCGTCAATAACTCCGCCTGTAGTCCCTACTGCCAGTCCCATGTCCCGGATAAAGGAGAAGGGTTGAGCATGGGGTTGGCGATCCTATCCTGTAGAAAATTAACTCGCTAAACAAAAACGCTAATACCTAGTTGCGTCACGAGGTCAACCCTTACTTGATATCCTCATGGCCAAAAAGAGAAAAGGAAAATCAAAGAACATATTACGCCGAGAAATGAAGACATGAGAAGAATGAACAAGAATTGGATGGAACTAGAAAAGAAGGCCCAGTATAGAGTGGGTTGGCGAATGCTGGTCGGTGGCCTATGCTCCATTGGGAGTAACAAGCGTAAGTAAGTAAGTAAGTAAGTAAGTGTTGAAGTAAGTAAGTAAGTAAGTAAGTAAGCAAGTAAGTAAGTAAGTAAATAAGTAAGTAAGTAAGTAAGTGTTGAAGTAAGTAAGTAAGTAAGTAAGTAAGTGTTGAAGTAAGTAAGTAAGTGAGGAAGGAAGGAAGGAAGGAATTGATCGTTAATCGACGAGTTTTTATCCGAATCTTTCTCCAAACTGTGTGGTTCATATGACTTATTATTATGAATAATATCGCTGACAAAATTTTTAATGAAGCTGACCACAGAAGTATTCGGCTAAGTTAGAAACGGCTCCATTATACTTGAAGGAAGTTAGATAACAGTCAATTTTTACAACAAACTGACTTTATTTTTTGAAGGAAAAACAGAATAGTTAGTTACTGCTTGCTAAGTTATGAGGAGTTCCATAGGTTATTTCAAAGTTTGAAATGAAGAAACGAACACTTACACATAAGTAGTAATAGAATTGTTCTATTTAGGATTAGTCAATTGGATGTACTTTTACACTATTATTAATGTTTACTGCTGGATTCGAGTCCAGTACCTTTTTTTACTTTAAATGAAATCCCTTTATTCGCTTAGCTACTCATAAGATTTATATATAAATTCGAGTGGAAGTTATTTTGCTCTTTCTCTCTTTCAACCGGGTGCCAGGAAACAATATAGTGAGCAGGAATACAATTGAGGACAATCAAATATATTTAAATACAATATTACAGAATCTCTTAGTATAATCTGAGAATCATACAGTAAATGCTTCATTTGCAAAATGTCAATCAATCATCTTAGGCTTGACAGTTCTTCTGTTTCCACACCAATCGTTCTTTGTTCTTGTTCTCTTTGATTTGATCTTCTTAACATTCTTTCGCTAGGCATTTCACTTTCGACTAATAAAACATACTACTTATATCATTCAACTTCAATAGCACACAGCACACTATACTACTACTACTACTACTACTACTACTACTACTACTACTACTACTACTACTACTACTACTACTACTACTACTACTACTACTACTACTACTACTACTACTACTACTACTACTACTACTACTACTACTACTACTACTACTACTACTACTACTACTACTACTACTACTACTACTACTACTACTACTACTACTACTACTACTACTACTACTACTACTACTACTACTACTACTACTACTACTACTACTACTACTACTACTACTCCTACTCCTACTCCTACTCCTACTCCTACTCCTACTCCTACTCCTACTCCTACTCCTACTCCTACTCCTACTCCTACTCCTACTCCTACTCCTACTCCTACTCCTACTCCTACTCCTACTCCTACTCCTACTCCTACTCCTACTCCTACTCCTACTCCTACTCCTACTCCTATTAATGATATAAGTAAAAAGTAATACTCAATATAGATTTCTCTTTTATTGAAACAAACCTACATTGAATATCAACAATTGAAAAGTCAATCAATTGAAGTAAAATTAAAATCTTTATTAATTAGTTAATGACTTTCTTAAATTTCCCTTCTTTTTCTTTTTAATTAAATTGATGAAGTTGGTGTTGTATTAGGTAAGAGGTGGGTGGGTGTGTGGGTTTGTGGGTGGTTGGTTGGAAAAAGGATGAAAGCAAAACTTTTGTTGTATAGATTATCATCATCATCATCATCATCAATTTATTTGTTTACTTATCATTTTATTTCTCCTTAATAAAGTTTTGATTAAGTTTCTAAGTCATAAAGTTGCGTGAAGCATTTGTAAAGTAATAACTGATGACAATGTGGTGATGATGGTGGTGGTGGTTGTGGTGGTGTTGGTAGTGATGGTGAAAGAGGATGAGGACGAGGCCAAGGAGGACAACAACAACAATGCAGATGGTTGATAATTACCATGAATGGCGTGTGTATATATATATATATAAGTCTGTTTAGTGATTAACTCAAATATTGATAATAAAATAAGATCTCTATAGTCAATATATCTTAACTATTGAATTTGAATAGTTTGTTTACTCAGTTGTTTTCAATTGTTTATTGTCAGGTGGTTCATATTACTTGAGCTTATTACTTTAGATGATATATATACACCTTTACTAATGAATATTGTTAGAGGTAAAAGCTGATAAAGGTGACTTACTTACATACTTACTTGCTTACGCCTGTTACTCCTAATGGAGGATAGATCGCCGACCACCATTATCAAACCCACTCTGTCCTCCACCTTCCTTTCCACTTCTATCCAATTGTTGTTCATTCTTCTCATGTCTGTCTCTATTTCTCAGAGTAATCTGTTCTTTGGTCTTCCTCTTCTTCTTTCGCCTCAGGAACTCCATGTGAGGGCTTGCCTTGTGATGCAGTTGGTTTACTGATCTCAATGTGTGTCCTATCCACTCACAGCACTTCTTCCTCATTTATTCCGACACTGGAATCTGGTTTGTTCTATCCCATAGTCGGTGGTTGTTGATAGTGTCTGGTCAGCGGATTCGAATTATTATGCGTAGACAACTGTTAATAAACACCTGTATATTCTGGATGATGGCTTTCGTAGTTCTCCAAGTTTCCACCTCATACAGTAGAACTGTTTTGACATTTGTATTGAAAATTGTGACTTTGGTGTTAGTTGACAGACAGTTGTTTTGAATTATAGATGTTATTTAATTGTAGATATGCTGCCCTTGCTTTTCCGATCCGCCTGGAGCCCCTCTGGGGCTACTGCCGGTGCCAAGCCCGGATCAAGGAGTAGGGTTGGGCATGGGGTTAACGACCCCATCCCGTAGAATACTAACTCGTTAAACAAAAACGCTGACCATAAAAAATTATTCAAAGGTGACTTATTGTATAGTAAAGTAATATTGACTGGTGATATCGTCTAACCACATTGAATTGAAAATGTTTCATTAAATTAAACTTAACAGAATAAGTATCATCTTTTAAATAAAAAGATTCAGATCACACTGTATAATGTAGAGGTGCATTAATTTATTCCTTTTGTAATATGGTTCTGGATAGTATGATAGTTGGAGTTATTGAACAAAAAACCTTGAACCGGGGTTTCGTACTGTTTGAGGCTCGTCAGAAAGTTTTACTTATCATCTTGAAGGATTCAGTCGCTTGTCACCCAACTCCACAGTCAGAGGTGTCACCAATGGTCTATCCGGTCCGCAGCTGACATCCTGTAGGACTGAGATATATTCGCAATTGATCGATCACTAGATGATGATCAACGTTATGCGTGTCAGATCCTTCTTAGTGCAGATTGTCTCCCATCAACAAAATTTGCAATGTGGCCACTAGACTAGGTGACTCAACATTGCGAGCACTATGTTGAGATAAGATGGTCGTTGGAGGTAGTCAACAGGAAGTCGTGAATACTTTAAAGAAACTTACTTATTTACGCCTGTTACACCTCACAGGGAAGGATAGGCTGACATACGGCACTCTCCATCCAACTCCGTCATGGGTAACCCTTTCCATATGCTATTCATTCTTTTTATATCTGCTTTCAATATCTGATGTATTGTGTTTTTCGACCTTCCTCTTTTCCGTTTTCCTTCAGCTATAATCTTATTAAAACTAAAACTTTTAAACTAATAATCCTGACTCTCTTGGAGACTTGGAGACTCGGATCATTTCAAAAATCAATGCACTATGAACGTTTGTAAAAGTAGTAATACAAATAAGGGAAGCTTTGCTTGGACAGGTCAAAGGTCATTTATATGATTACATATGAATTACTAACCCTACAATATTTTTAGAATAAATTATGAAGGATAATTGTAATTTGTAACTCCACCTCAGACAAGGTTGCTTACTCTCACGCTTTCTCTTTCTCCTGGTGACCGACTGGATTATTAAGATGTAAACATCTGAGGGAAGCATGGGATACAGTGGACAGGTAGGATGCAGCTGGACGATCTAGACTTCACACATGATCTGGCTCTCCTATCACACACACACAACAACAAATGCAGGAGAACACGACCAGTGTAGCAGCAGCCTCAATAGAAGTAGGTCTCAATACAAAACAAAATGAACCAAACGAATCATACTTGACAGAGAAGCTTTGGAAGATGTAAAAAGCTTTACATATCTGAGCAGCATCATTGATGAACATGGTGGATCTGATGCAGATATGAAGGTGCGGATCGGCAAAGCGACAGCAGCATATCTATAATTGAAGAACATCTATAATTCAAAACAACTGTCTGTCAACTAACACCAAAGTCACAATTTTCAATACAAATGTCAAAACAGTTCTACTGTATGAGGTGGAAACTTGGAGAACTACGAAAGCCATCATCCAGAATATACAGGTGTTTATTAACAGTTGTCTACGCATAATAATTCGAATCCGCTGACCAGACACTATCAACAACCACCGACTATGGGATAGAACAAACCAGATTCCAGTGTCGGAATAAATGAGGAAGAAGTGCTGTGAGTGGATAGGACACACATTGAGATCAGTAAACCAACTGCATCACAAGGCAAGCCCTCACATGGAGTTCCTGAGGCGAAAGGAGAAGAGGAAGACCGAAAAACAAATTACTCTGAGAAATGGAGACAGAAATGAGAAGAATGAACAACAATTTGATAGAAGTGGAAAGGAAGGTGGAGGACTGAGTGGGTTTGAGAATGGTGGTCGGCGATCTATCCTCCATTAGGAGTAACAGGCGTAAGTAAGTAAATTATAATTTGTACATTCGATTCATCATTGATTAATGACCTATATCATGTTTTTATCTTAGTGGTAATTGCTTCACTTAGACTATTGGCTTAATTACAACTTGGTTCATAGAACTCTGTCAACACTCAGGTTTAGACAAATATGAAATCGGTCACTACTCAATGACTAGTCAGTGTAATTATTCCTTTTGTAAGAAAGTATTCAAAAGTTCTTACTTCTAAATTAAACCTATTAAGTTGCCTAAATTTGATCAGGGTTTAGTTTAATGCATAATTAGGAAGGTACTTTCGGCAAACTAATTCATTACTTACCGATTATGGATCTTGACTACGTAAATTCATTTTAAGTGATAATCTTGAACTGTCATGACTTATGGAATTTTATATGCAATAACTTAATGGTTCTAAAAGTTGGTCCAATTTAGTATTATGGTAGTCCTTGCAAGGTGGCAGTGTTCTCCTCAATGCCTGAAGATCTTTTAAATTCAATCTATAGTGTAGCCTTGGACACACATCAATGAGTCATCCGATACTAGGATGAGATAGCTACCGAGTACCTTCTAGTTTTTAACGGTTGTCTTACTAAGATCAATCAGTGATGTGGAACCACAAGCTATAATGTACTAGACTGATAGTTGTATTTTTTTTGGGGGGGGGTGAGAACATATGTATATAGATAATAATAATGATAGTTTAAAAATTAGTTGGCACACGATGAAACAAAACAAATGGTTAATTAAATGATATGTTTACAGTTGATTGATCATTGGGTGGTGATCAAAGTCATGTATTTCAGGTCCTTTTTAGTGTAGATCGAATCCTATCGAACACGTTGCAATGTAGCCACCAGTCTAGGTGACTCGACATTGCATGCATTATGTTGAGATAAGATGGTGGTTGGAGTTAGTGAACAGGAAAACCTAAACCTGGGTTTTGTGCTATCATCAGAAAGTTGGACCTCTAATGTTGATGGAACTGATGCTCCCTGACGGATTCGATCTCGTGTCACCCAGCTACACAGTCAGAAACTGACCTCATGTAGGACTGAGATGTATTCACAATTGATTGACCACTGAATGGTGATCAATGTCATATGTAACAAATCCAAATAACACGAAACCTGATTCCAGAATTTTCCTATTGACTACTTCTAACCATCATCTTAAATAATATATTATCCATCATGATTGATTATCTCTCATTCAATTCTCTATAGGATCATAACAAAACATTTATCATATTACCTTACTCCTCTCTATGTTAAAATTACTCAATCTAAGCGTTCGCTCGCGAGCGGAATCATCGATGCGTACTGCTGAGGAGTCCCACAATAAGATGAAACGACCGTCCAATACTTTCAGGTTTCTAACGGTGGTCTAACATCAATCAGTTCATGATCTCAAACAATAACTTATTAATCTCCACAACCCCTATACTGATGTAATAAATAACTTACAAAAGGATTTGATTGATAATGTTTTAAAAAAGGATTAATGTACAATATACATGTAACTTGAACATGTAAATGTAATTAGGAATTCAATTGCTTACACCTTCATTTATTGTTTACATTATAGTTATGGATATACATAGTATGGATAATACTACTAATAACAACAATATAAATAGGGTTACCAGGTTTATTAATCGGATTAATTAGAGAACATGTCACCAATCCTTTTAAACATTTTCTAATAATGATAATGACGATGATAAAGA